ATAGAGTAGTCACAATGCTGGGCAGCTAAAAGCGCTTGATTATATTGTAATGCATTGCATATTACACATTCATAATATGGAAAAAATAATATAAAAAGTAATAAGAAAACCGTATTACATAAAAAATATTATGTATAAACAAATAGATACATAAAAAAATATATAAAATAATAAAATTAAAATATGGATTAATTATAAAATAAAATAAACATTTAAATATATAAAACAAAGGAATGAAAAAAAAAATGGTTTAATAACAATAATAAAAAAAAATAAAACAAAAGAATTAAAAGATTAAAAAAAACATAAAAGATGAGAGAGAAAATGGACGTTCCATTTATTCCTCTCGTGTTAAATATTATAATGATGTTCAATGTGCAATACAATTTTATTTTTATTGTAATTATAAATGTGTATCGTATTTTTTAATACGATCTTATAGATTGTGTAAACGTATATTTTGTGTCGGTTGTGTGTCATTTCTTTGTGTTCTGTTTCAGATACCTAGATCATAGCATTTCCTTCTATCCTAAACTTTCCTTATTTTCTTTTTGATTCCTTCCGGGTGTGCGGTCACGCGTTTGCTCTCATTTGCTGTGAATGAGAGCAGCGGCTTCCACGTGGTCGCATCCCCAGGTGCAAAAGGTATATCACCTTCTCTCGAAGATGATAACCAGGTATAAATTCAAGCGCAACACACAGCCTCTGAATTGATGCAAGACTGTACGCATTTAACCTTCACGAGGTTGCACCTGTTTTTATACAGAAAATGCTACGGATCTCGTTTTGATCCACTAGATTTACCATACGCTGGTTTATCTACGGGATTAGAATTAAATTCTATATTAAAAATCCATCCAATTCATCAGGTATACACGTACACCTGTTTCGCCCATACTTTTAATGGCTAACCAGTTTAATTCAAGTTCTTTTCGTTAATTTTAAATCGTAATTAAGGTTTTAATTATTTAATCGTAATTGGAGGAACGCAGAAAGTGCTGAGCTATAATCTTAGCAAAAACTCCCACAGATGGCCAGGTTACATACATTAGTTGTCACTATGCAACCAAACTACATGTTATTATATGCGCTTAGTTCACCCCATTTTGGCGCTGCTCCAAATTGGATTTATGAATTGGAAACTTAATTTAAAAAAATCTATATTAATCCTTTAGTTTGCTGCAAAATTGTGCGATTAAATGTATACTTTTATAAATTAATTAATCGCTGCTCAAAATGTATTCCTTTTAGAAGTAAAATTTTCAAATATATAATTTTATAAGAAATTATTTAATACCTGCAACATAATGTAACCTTATAGGATTGTTTAATTAATACATTTTAATTACATAAAGAGTCTAATCTTTCAGTTTATTTATTGTTTCTTTCGCAAACAAATATACAGCTGATAACAACGGCTCAATTTTTAATGTTAAAGCGAAGATAAACTCGCTCGACGATCGCGTCAAATTAAATGAAATCTTTCATGACTTGCGATAATCTCATGTAACATACATCATCGGTATATAATTGTTTATATATTTTCATGTAATAATGAAATCAAATTTTGCAAAATCATAAGTAATTTTAAATTGCAATTGATTGATAGGTTTTTGACTTTAGTCGTTGAGAGTTTCATGTTGCGAAGTGTAGAGAGATTCTATTTTTAATTGGATGGATTAGTAAACCTGCTGCACAGATAGGAGCAGTTGGTCGAAAGAATTGGGTGTATGTGTTGGATCCATGAAATTGTAGTTGCGAAGAGACACAGATGAACAACGCACACACATGATGGATGGATATGTGTGTGCGGTGTTTTGTAGCAGGGTCAGATAACGTTGAAGGACTTTGTCCCAATCTACAGAGAATGTAGCAGGAAAGCAAGCGCGCCGAGAGAGAACAGCCTGCAGTTCGTAGATTCCGATCACGCAGTAAACATGGCAGGCAGGACCATCGCTAAGTTGCTCTTCAACCAGGCCCAATCCAATGTGATCCGGCCGCAATTCGCTAACAGCGTTAAATTCTACAGTGCAGCTCCCAGTAAGACAACAACTAATCAATTAATAACTTAATTAATTAAACACTTATTGTATTGAGTTGAATCGAACAACGATTCGCACGCTCTATTGCCGCCGATCGAAATATGTAATTCACGCTCTCAAGGTCGGCACAATATCAAAATAACTGGCCTTTTATCAACTAGTTATGTAAATTATGTAATGCCCAGATAAAGTGTTTGTACTAACAACAGAAAAAACGAATTGATGGCGTGTTTCTGTTATACAATTTCAATGCTTTTTTAGCAATAATAAGTGTTAAATAATCTAATTGGAATTGTATCCACGTTGTATTCGATTAGTTCAAAGGAGACGAGCGTTCAATATGAACTATTTTCGTATCAACTGCGCTCCGACGCAACTTTTTTAAAATTTTCATTGATTTTCTAATGAAGATTTCATAATAATTAATCTGTTGCTTGCAGGCTACGAGTTTATTAAGGTCGAGAAGGTCGGCGAGAAGAAAAATGTTGGTCTGATCACATTGAACAGACCGAAGGCGTTGAACGCCCTCTGCAACGGTCTGATGACCGAGGTGAGCAACATCATCGAAGACTTCGAGAAGGACAATTCCGTCGCCGCCATCGTCATCACCGGAAGCGAGAAGGCTTTCGCCGCCGGCGCCGACATCAAGGAGATGCAGAACAACACCTACTCGAAATGCATCAGCGGAAACTTCTTGTCGCATTGGAACCGCGTCGCCGATTGCACGAAGCCAGTGATCGCCGCAGTCAACGGTTACGCCGTCAGTTCATCCACGAAATTGTGTAGAGAACGAATCACTAATTATTCTTGATGTTACAGTTGGGAGGCGGCTGCGAGTTGGCCATGATGTGCGACATCATCTACGCCGGTGAAACAGCCAAGTTCGGACAACCGGAAATCCTCTTGGGCACCATCCCCGGAGCAGGTGGTTCTCAGCGTCTGCCCAGGTACGTCGGTAAGTCGAAGGCGATGGAGATCGTCCTCACCGGTGATCAGGTGAACGCCGTCGAAGCTGAGAAGATGGGTCTCGTCAGCAAGATCTTCCCTGTTGGAGAACTCGTCAGTCGGGCTATTAAATTGGGCGAGAAGATCGGCAAGAACTCGCCGCTCATCGTGAGCATGGCCAAGGAGTCCGTCAACACCGCCTACGAAACCACTTTAGCCGAAGGTCTTCACTTCGAGAAGAGGACTTTCCACGGTACCTTCGCAACCAAAGACCGTATGGAAGGCATGACCGCATTCGTCGAGAAGCGTCCGGCCAACTTCACCAACGAATAAAAGCAGGGCATACATAAGTAAACAAACACTAATATACTGATCGAATTATTCTCTTTTGTATACAATTTATAATGTAATAAATTTACAATTTTCTTACGTCGATTTTACCAAAAATCTTGGTGTTAACAACGCAGATATTCTATTTCAAAAAACCTTGAGTTACTTCAATACACTATAAATAATTTCAGTGCAAACACTAAATTAGAGGTGTCAATTATTACAAAAGTGTGAAAATATGAATGATTGAATTTATAAAAACTTTTGGCTCTTACACTATGCTCTACACACTATGTAGAAATTCAGAACAAAAATTCAATTACATTATAGCAATAATGCATTAAATACTTTAAATATTTAGGTTTTTAATGCATATTGAATCATTTATCTAGTGTTTATAGTTTTTGAGAAAATCGTTAATATCTAAAGACATTGCTTAATGTTTGTTTCACGTTTGACTTTGGTTTACAAAAAAAAGTATACTAGTCTCAATTATAGCAATAATTGCATTAAATACTTTAAATATTTAGGTTTTTAATGCATATTGAATCATTATCTAGTGTTTATAGTTTTTGAGAAAATCGTTAATATCTAAAGACATTGCTTAATGTTTGTTTCACGTTTGACTTTAGTTTACAAAAAAAGTATACAAGTCTCAATTATAGCAATAATTGTATTAAATACTTTATATATTTAGCTTTTTAATGCATATTGAATCATTTATCTAGTATTTATAGTTTTTGAGAAAATCGTTCATATCTAAAGACATTGCTTAATGTTTGTTTCACGTTTGACTTTAGTTTACAAAAAAAGTATACAAGTCTCAAATATAGCAATAATTGCATTAAATACTTTATATATTTAGCTTTCTAATGCATATTCAATCATTTATCTAGTATTTATAGTTTTTGAGAAAATAGTTCATATCTAAAAACATTGCTTAATGTTTGTTTCATGTTTGACTTTAATTTACAATAAAAGTATACAAGTTTCAATTATAGCAATAATTGAATTAAATTCTTTAAATATTTAGGTTTCTAATGCATATTGAATCATTTATCTAGTATTTATAGTTTTTGAGAAAATCGTTAAAATCTAAAGACATTGCTTAATGTTTGTTTCACGTTTGACTTTGATTTACAAGAAAAGTATACAAGTCTCAATTATAGCATTAATTGTATTAAATACTTGAAATATTTAGCTTTCTAATGCATATTGAATCATTTATCTAGTGTTTATAGTTTTTGAGAAAATCGTTCATATCTAAAGACATTGCTTAATGTTTGTTTCACGTTTGAATTTAGTTTACAAGAAAA